TAGTTATAATAGTTGCACAACTTCATTTAGTTTTGTATTTAATTATANTTTATCCGTAATTGGGTAAACTGTTGCGATATTATTATTATTAAATATAACGTCGATGGAATTACGTTAGAGCTACACAATATTGCGAGCTACCAATTTGCAACGATAGGGCCAATTTCGACAATTCGATCAAAAAAGAAATAGATGATATCTCCGTTGCAAAAATAAATATCTCCTTTATCTCTTATTTTTATTCAAAGAGTTATTTCCCTTTTCTGGAGCGCAATCGAGAAACAATACAAAATTTTTGAAAGAGTGAGAGAGAGAAAACAAAGTTCGTTCGATGGAACGAAGAAGAAGTTGATGTCCCGGAGATCGCTGTCAAATTTCTTAAAGAGAAAAGCTTTCTTGTTGCCAACGCAACCGTTAAACGTTTCGTACGCCTGTTAAAGGGGCAAAGGATCACCAGGTAAAGAGAGGGAACCGTCTTTGAGGTTCTTTTCGCCGCCTAATTGTATCGGGTGTCTTAATCAGCGTATAAGCTACTAAAAGTCTCGAGGAGGGTGGAGCCAGATAGAGAGAGAGAGAGAGAGAGAGAGAGAAAAGCTCCGCGCTCTGCATCTCAAAGGCATCTGAATTTTTTAAAAGTGTGTTAAGCCCCTGCCATTATGCCCGCTGCATTTATCCTCCCCGAAACATGAATTTAGATTGTGGCTTAGCCACATGACGTGTTTCCTTTCCACGGAAACGAAACGCGGAAGCTGGCCCCTCTCCCCCTCCCCCTTTTTTTGCTTAGATATTCTTTTCTTTCGTATTTTTCCACGAGGTGTTCTTTTCCATTTCCCTTCGCCTTTCACCCAAGAATACAATTACGAAGAAGTTGAAGCGAAACGAGTCCACGGCTTGTGTACAATTTTCAACAGAAATAAAATTTTGTTCACGCCTCGTTAAGATATTTCACGTTTAGAAAGTTATTGAAAACTTATTTTCTATTAAAGAAAAAAAAAAAATAAATAATTTTTATAAATTTCAAGATTTCTCACGCCTCGAAGAACGAATTCTAATTTCGAAAATTAAAAATTAACTTTGATCGATTGGACGAAACGAACGAAATGAAAATGGAACAGTTATTACGATGCGGGTTATCGATATTAGCAAGTCGTCATTGCCAACGGACGAAACGGCTATATTGGTTTTTTTTGGCATCGAGTCAGCACGTGGCAGGCGGTTGATTACCCTTTCTGATCCGAGGCAACCCTACGATTGAAATTCATATCCGCCGAATTAAAGCCACGATAGAATGTTCTTAAAATGCTCGTCCTTTAATACCAAAAACCTATATACAAAAAAATATCCTTTGACAGATCCATCGATATGTCGCAATAAAAATTCCACGCATCATATACTTTTAATCACGAGATTATTATATAAAAATATACATATACATATATACATACACACACACACACACGAATCATTCCATTCTTTTAATCTTTTTGTAATTTGTAATCCGATCCACGTGATGTATAAAAAAGTTTGCATGTGAAATCTCTCTCTCCCTCTCCCTCCCCCCTCTCTCCACATATATATATATATAACTATGTAAATGTATATACTATGTAATATGTGATTATATAAATGATGTTGATGACTGATGACCGTTGTTATGTGGGTGATTCTAGTGGGGCCTGTGTTCGGGGGCCGATGCGGCGCGGAGGCGCTCGGGCTCGGGCTAGGGCTGTCGCTGGGCCCGGCCTACAGGTTCGCTCTGCCCCCGGGACTCGCTGCCAAGACCACCCGCTGCCTTGTATTCGACCAAGGTAGGCCTACCAGCCATCTTCATTACCGCTACCTACGATCTCAGATAGAACGGATCTCTCGCCCGATCTCTCGTGCGTAAGCCTCCCAAACCACCCATTTTTTCCGATATACATTTTCCAAATTGATCGGCTTAACTTCGAGAGGCGAACCCGGCGGTTCCATTCTTCGATCTCTCGAGACGAAGAATCGATTTTTATTTCGAGCGGATAAAATTATGGACGATAGTTCTATCTGGGATTGAAAAGGTATGGGCGGATAAATATAAATATTTCTCTGCAAAGTTTGTCCATAAATCTCGGTTTGGTTTTTTTTTTAATCAAACGATAGTCTAACAACATTAGAAATTTTCGCTTCGCTCACTAAAACTGTTTGTTGCAAATTTCATTCGTTGCGAATGTTTGTTGCCCCTGGGATTGGAGATTATTAACACGATTTTTAAAGTTAGTTTTAATTAATCGACGATGACAACAAGCGGATAATGGTAGGCCGCGCCTTACGCAACAGCGTTACAACAGCGTTTCTCGAATCGACAAATCACGCTAAGCCTCCGCGTCGTCAAATTCTAACATTTCCCAACAGAGTGCTGATATATAGTAGGCTTAACAAACTTCGATCGGTAGGCGTAATGCGGCCATCGCAGAGTTGGAAGATTAGCCAAAAATTTACTATCACGTATCCGATACTGGTAATAACGCTGCTAAATCGTGAAAATCTGGAAAATAGGAAATTTCGAGAGAAAATTGTATATAGCGAATGGATTATCCTTCGATCTTCGAATTTTCTTAACAAACTTTCTATACGATATACCACATATTTTCAATGCAAAAATTCAATGTAAAAATTTAATCAACTCGACGTTCACCCAATCGTGTCGAGTATCGACCGGCAATATCGATTTCACTGTCCATTTTCGGAATTCCCTCTGCCCAAAGTCCCTCCATCGATCCCCGAAATCCAGCTACAAGATCGACTTGCGTGTTTGCACAGATTAAGCCTACGAGCTATGCTCATCTTCGTGTCCACAAATCTAACAAGACCAATTGTAAACGAGCTTGCGCTTTCGTCACCCCTCCACCCTGTTAATGCCCCTAACGTACACCGCATGTACATTAAGTCCAAGCACCTGTGCGAGCCTTCGCTTAAAAATCTACAATTATCTATAATCTCGCTTGGAACTACATAACCACGTTTTCTCGAAAAATAATTTCAAGAATTTGAAGAGAGACGCGGAAAAGAATGCCCTTTGAAGGAAAAAATTTCGTCCTCGTCTTTCGTCTTTTCGCCAATTCAAGAGATGCATGCAACTTTTTCTCCCCCTTCGTTTTCGAAAGCTTGTAAATTATGCATCGGACGGTGACAAGTGAGACGACATGATTCAACCGTAACAGCGAAATATCGAAGGCGGGTGGATAGTGACTCGTTTCCGTCTCCTCGATCATCGTCGATGAAACTATCGTCGAGGATCTGCTCGCCGGAGCGAAGAAGATATTATTTTTCATAAACGCGGCGTAAATGGTCGTTTCGCGTGATTGCATGGGATCCAACGGGATGAACGCGCGCTCCCGGTTACACTCTAGTCGAGACGAAGAGGGTAATTCCGTCCATCCTATTTAGTCGTCCCTCCTCTCCTTATTCCACGTTAAGCGAGTGTAAAAACGTTCTCTATTCTTTTGTTCTTTTTTCTTTTTTTTCTACGTCAAATTGTAAGAATCTCTTCAAGATTCGTAGATTTTTGCAGATCTCTCGATACCGATGTCGCTCGATTTTTCAAAGAAATTTTCAACCGACGTGAATATGCGAAAGAATTATTTATTGTTCGTAAGTTTTTTACAGGCTCAAATGGAAAGAAACTTTTACTATCCTCTTTCTGTAGATACCGACTTGCAATTTTTAAGATTTTTCTTTTTTCTTTTTACACGTATCGGTGTTTTGTCCGATTTGAAAAAGAAAAAGAAATTATTCCACTTAAAAAGAATCGAAAAAGGAGAGAAAAAAAGAATATTTTGCGAGACAAGAGGCTTCCCGAATTCGTTTACTTTCTATTATACCACGTTTTTATCGAGGGATGAGATCATTATGCCGGGTCTCCTCCCTCCCTCCCACCACGGTCCCCATGTAACGTCTTGCATCGCCACCTTTTCGGCCAACATCCTCTCGCCCCGTGCCTCCCCTCCAGCCCCGTTTGCTTCTCGCCTCTTCGCGCGACAGTAATTTTACTTAATTAAATTCCGTTCTTTCTGCCTTTGCCTCTACGACCCCTCTACCGGCCAACCCCCGCCCTTCTATTCGCTCCGACCGAGGATCGTCACTGATTTTTTTCTCGCCTCTCTCCTCTCTTCTCGAAACGCTTCAAACGATTTTTCCACGATTTCCCCGTCCCAGGTTGAAGCGTTGACAATAAACGGGGGGGAAAAATTCTGATTTTTCTTTTTTTTTTTTTTTTTTT